AAGGCTCTTTCTCAAGTCCTAACTTCACCACACTCAAGGCTCAGCAAGAACCAGATTATTTTAACTCAGTTAACCCTTAGTAGCCCTAACACCATGGAAAAAAGGGTAAGCAAGTATCTGGGATACTTGGGTCAGATACTGTAAGTGCTTTGCAATTTTTTTTCTTTTTTTGAGATGGAGTCTTACTCTGTTTGTTGCCCAGGCTGGAGTGCAGTGGTGCGATCTCTACTCATTGCAACCTCTGCCTCCCGGGTTGAAGCAATTCTCCTGCCTCAGCCTCCCGAGTAGCTGGAATCACAGGAATGCACAACCACACCCGGCTAATTTTTGTATTTTTAGTAGAGATGGGGTTTCACCATATTGGCCAGGCTGGTCTCCAACTCCTGACCTCAGGTGATTCGCCCGCCTCGGCCTTCCAAAGTGCTAGGATTACAAGTGTGAGCCAACGTGCCCGGCTGTACTCCATTTTGAAGATGAGGAAACTGAGACCGAGAAAGGTTAAATGACTTACCTAAGGTCTTGCCCTTATAAGAGGTAGAGCTGGGATCTGAACCAACTTGTCTTGCTCAGGTGTCTGTTCTGACCTTGCTCTGCTTGAGCTTCTCAGCTCTGTTCTCCTACACTCTCTGATGCTTCCTCTCCCACAGCAAGGGTGCTACACCACAGCCACAGGGCTCTGCAGCTTCCCAGCCAGGTGACCACGGGCAAATCTTTCCTCTCAGTGACCACCTATACTCACCTGGTTATAGGAAGATCACACAACATGCTACGTGGGGCACCATCTAGCCTACGGCAACAGCCCAATCAACAACAGCAATAATAATTACTATCGGTGATCAGTACTAAGAATAGTAATAGCGGCCGGGCGCGGTGGCTCAAGCCTGTAATCCCAGCACTTTGGGAGGCCGAGGCGGGCGGATCACAAGGTCAGGAGATCGAGACCACAGTGAAACCCCGTCTCTACTAAAAATACAAAAAAATTAGCCGGGCGCGGTGGCGGGCGCCTGTAGTCCCAGCTACTCAGGAGGCTGAGGCAGGAGAATGGCGGGAACCCGGGAGGCGGAGCTTGCAGTGAGCCGAGATCGCGCCACTGCACTCCAGCCTGGGCAACAGCGTGAGACTCCGTCTCAAAAAAAAAAAAAAAAAAAGAATAGTAATAGCAATTTCTTGCCCATTTACATGGTCCCTGAACTCGGAACATGTCACAGAGGCTCAGTGTCTTATGATTTGAGTCCTTCCTTCCAACTCATTTTCATAGAAATTACAGGCAACTTCTGAACCAGCTCTAGAACTTGGGAACAAAAGGGTGCTGGCAGGCAGAGAACTGAGGAGGCAGATAATCCAAAAATAATTGATCCCAGGTCATGGAAAGCATTTTGTTTACAGCAGCAGGCTGACCTTCCCAATTATCTTCTGCTTAGGCTAATGTTACAGCCTGCCTTCCCCAGCAGACGAGATCGCCACATATGCTCACCAGTCCTGCAGGGGACGCGGTCAGGCTGAGGCTGGCTGCCTCTCAATGAAGTGTAAACTGAGGCACAGAGGGCGTGATTCAAAGCCCACAAGACTACTGTGGGCTTGAGGAGCTCTACAGGATGCTGATCCCACACTACGTCCAGGCCGCCTTGCTTTGTATCTCTCGTTAGAGTTTGGAGGATGGCGCACCTCAGGCTTGCTGTTCCTAGAAATGCTGTCTGGAGCAAGAATCTCATCTGCAGATCGGAGAGGGTCCAGGCAAGGTGTGCGTCATCAGACCCTGAAAATTCCTCTGTGTTTCATGGGACCGGTCTGGTCTCAAAATGAATCTTCATGCAAGTCCATGGGAGAGCAGGATATGTGCCATCTCCATACACATAAAAAAAAACTGGCTTTGGCCAGGTACGGTGGCTCACACCTGTAATCCCAGCACTTTGGGACGCCAAGGCAGGTGGATCACCTGAGGTCAGGAGTTTGGGACCAGCCTGGCCAACATGGTGAAACCCCGTTTCTACTAAAAATACAAAAATGAGAGGCCGGGTGAGGTGGCATGTGGCTGTAATCCCAGCTACTCAGGAGGCTGAGACAGGAGAATCGCATGAACCCAGGAGGCGGAGGTTGTAGTGAGCCGAGATCGCATCACTGCACTCCAGCCTGGGCAACAAAGAGGAAACTCCGTCTCAAAGGAAAAAAAAAAAAAAAAGAAAGAAAAGAAAACTGGCCTCAAAGAGGTAAAGCCTCTTGCCTGAGGTCACTCACCGGCCATCCCCAACACTTCCTGGCCACCTGGCCAGGCCCTTCTACCTGTGAAGTGGGGAACCTCTCAATCCCCTCCAGGCTTTGTGGGAGACCCTCCCTCAATCTCACCTGGTGACCCCATCCCTTGACTTTCCAGGTCTCTGGGAAGGAAGCCCTCTGGGGGCAGGAAGTTGGTTATGCTGACTCACAGGCCAAGGGAGAGTAATTCAGGAAACTTGTCGCTCTGTTACCATGGCGTTGGGGCTGCTGGCACCCTCTCCTCTCTGAAGCTCACTTACAGGCTGGGTGTCTAAGTGGGAGTGGGGCATGGTCAGACCCTGCACCCAATCCCATCCCTCCTATAGATTTCCAGCTTCATGGCACATGCAGTTACCCTCTTGTAACGGCAGAATGGAGAGTATCCTGGGGTTTGGTCCTTCCCTGCCTGCAGAACTTTGGGGATTCCATCAGCAGAGCCGGCAAGCCTTCTCCACCCAGGAAGGGGAAAAGAAAAGTCCCCAAGAGACAGACAGGGTGGGCCAAAGCCCACTCCAAGCCATTGGCTGCCCCAATCTCCTGACTTCCTCACACTGTTTTTAGCAAGAGGAAGGAGGTGACATTTGACCATGAGGCCTGAGGCCTGTCTTGGAAAGGAAGAGGGGACTTGAGAAGGCAGGAAAATGTCATTCATCTGGATCTCACCCCTCAGGAGTGAGAAGGAGCTTGGGGCAGCTATAAACTCACGACCACAAGAAAAGGGGGAACCATTATCTTAAACCCGGAGCGCTGCAGGGAAAAGCTGACAGCTGGTAGCTCCCCGCCCACCACCACTTATAAAACTCTTTGGCTTAAAAGAAACTCTTTTGCCCTGTTTTTCATTTCCTAGGCCTGTCTTAACATGTCCCTGGCTGGACATCAATCAGAGTTCCTATACACCGCAATGGGTACAAGTGCCTGAGCAAGTTCTGAACACTAACAGACCCAGGTTCAAATCCTGCTCCATGGGACTGGCTGTGCGGTCTTGGGAAAGCCCTTTGACAAAACCATCACAGAGGGTTGCTGAGGAGTAAGCCCAGGAGATAAGGCACCTAGCACTGAGTGAGTGTTTAGTAAATGCCGGCTGCTTTTAGAGATTCTTCAGGCACGAGGCAGAACCTGGTCTCTCAGGATTTGAAACTAACAGAGCAGAATTCTGTGCTGTCTAAACTAAAATTGAGAGTGCTGTCTATACACACACACTCCCTGATCTCCTCTCAGGGGCTCCCTCAATTTTATTCCCAAACAGAAACTCTGGAGTAGCAGCCTTCTTTGATCGATTCAGGAATTGAGGCCCAGACAGGGAGAGTGAGTTGCTTGAGGTCACACAGGCAGCAAGTAGCTGAGCAGGGAGGGCTGCTGCCCACTCCCCATCTCCTGGCCTTTTCATGTGGCCCAGCACGCTCTGGGCCTTACAAAATTCAGGCTCTGCTGCAAGGCAAAGCAGGGAGAGTTCCAGACACACTCCCTTCCCAAGAAAACACGAAGGGTGCAGCCACTCCCTCCCTCAAGGCCAAGGGCTTAGCTCACTGGTGGCGGGGGCAGGAGTGCTCTGGTCTACAGAACTGGGGGGCGGGGGCAGAGTTCATTCACAAAGGCTGATATCACCGAAAGTGGTAACAATGTAGTTATTATGTAGTCCCCTGCTTCCGGAGAAACTTCAATATGCCAAGCCTGAGGGTATCCCCAGAGCCACTTCTCAGGCCCATCAGCAGCCTCACCCACTCCACACCTCAGAGGCTTCCCACTCCAGCTCCTTAGGATGGTGGGGAAAGGAAAGCAAGCCTATCCCCTAGATCAAGAAAGAGCCCATTGGGCCGGGGGAGGTGGCTCACGCCTGTAATCACAGCACTTTGGGAGGCCAAGGTGGGCAGATCATGAGGTCAAGAGTTCAAGACCAGCCTGGCCAACACGGTGAAACCCTGTCTCTACTAAGAATACAAAAATTAGCCGGGCGTGGTGTCTGTAATCCCAGCTACTCAGGAGGCTGAGGCATGAGAATCGCTTGAACCCGGTAGGTGGAGGTTTCAGTGAGCCGGGATTGCACCACTGCACTCCAGCCTGGGCGATAGAGAGAGACTCCGTCTTGGAAAAAAGAAAAACTAAAAAAGAGCGAGCCCATTCAACGGGAACACGTCCCTCTCTCCTCCCTCACACTCAGTGACTCAGTGGCAAGTTTCTGGAGGAAAAACTGAGGGTGCGGACTGGTTGTCAAACCCCCAGGCTGAGGCTCTCGGAAAATGCGGTGGAAAAGGGGTGTCAGGAAATCCCCTCTACGAGTTGATAAAAGAACAGAGCTAACACCTTCCGGCCTCGGGTGCGGGGGCACAAGACAGCTCAAGGTCTTGGTCCTCCTCCCCACCTCCTGACGCCCCCAGCTGGGTTAGTTTTTGAGTCCCTTCTTTCCCCACTGAACGCACGTGGGGCGGGCTTCTTACAGAGCTAACTTCGGGATGCATCTACCACTCTTGCTGGGGCAGGCAAGTCCATGTGGAGGCACCCAAGCCCCCAAAGCCCGGACTCTGGTATGGCTTGTCACCACCCCAGATCGGAGTACTCGGCGCCCACTAGTGCTCACGTCCAGCAGCACCTCTGCCCCTTGCGCAGCGCTCACGACGGCTTCTCACAGCTCTTCCCCTCACCCCGGCCCGCCCGGCCCGCCCAGCTCGCTCCCCAGTGGGCCCCGTCGGGGCTGCGGGAGGGAGCAGCCAGGACAGCAGAAAGGGGAGGGCAAGGTGGCCCGAGCTCACCATGGCGAAGCCGGAGAGCAGAGCCGAGGTCCGGCTGGAGGCTTTGAGCTTGGCGCGGCTCAAATAGAGCTTGCGCCAGGACAGCGCCTGCATGGAGTGCTCGTTGAGACTCATCACCTCGGAGTAACTCTGGCCGATCCAGTCCGGGTAGGTGACGGCGGGCGGCGGCGGCGGCGGCGGCGGCGGCGGCGGCGGCGGCGGCGGCGGCGGCGGCGGGGCTCCCGGAGGCTCCCCGTCCCCGCTGCGGCGGCGGCTCCGGCGGCTGCCGCTGGTGGTGCTGCCGCCGCTCGGGGGAAGCTCGGGGCTGCTGCGGCTCGGGGGCGGGGCGGGCTCCGGATGCATGGAGCACGCCGCCGAGGCGCGGGCCCGCCCGGGAGCCGCGAGGCACCTCCGCCGGAGGCAGCCGCCGCCTGCCCCCTACGCGGGCCCGGCCTCACCCGGCCGGCCGCACAGGATGAGGAGGACGAGGTCAAGGGAGCGCCCGCTGCCCCAGCACACAGGCCCCCGGCGCCGCTGGCAAAAGCCCCCGGGCTACAGCGACCCGAGACTGCGCGAGGGTGGTGTCCCGGATCCCCGGAGCTGGGACCCCCGGCGCGCGCCGCGATTGGCCGCCGCCCTGGGCTGTTTTGCATGCGCCCCGCCCACCTGTGCCCCGCCCACCAAGAGGTGGGCGTTGTTGTGGGCGTCACGTGACCCGCCCGCTCAGACGGCACCGCCCACGGTCCCTGGCTAGCCGCCGTCCGCACCTCTTCCAGGAAGCGCCCGACTGCCCGTTCCGGCTCCTGGCACCGCCCCTCTCCGCAGCTGCTTCTGTGGCCTTGCTCCCGGAGCTTGGACTCCTGGGTCGGGCCGCCTGAGGTCACCTCTGGGCGCCTCCTGAGGCCAATATCCCCTTTGGAACAAGGTGGTTCAAGGTCTGTAGGAAAAAGAGCGGCCGAGGTCTAGAGTTCAAGCCGTCAGTGTTTATTTGGCGCCCACTGGGTGCCAACACTGGTCTAGGTGCTGAGGCTGGGTAGGGTGATGAACGAGATGGACAAAATTCCATGCCCTCTTGGAGGCTGCATTCTGTAGGGGAAGACACACAAACACCAATGAGTCGATTTTATAATAGTTTAGAAGGTGAAAAGGTGGAGAAAAAATAAAGCGGGCTGAAGGAGGTGGGTAGTGCGGGGGCTGCAATTTTAATTTTAAAATACTCGGATTCAGGGCAGGAAGGTTTTTCTTTTCTTTTATTTTTTTAGGGTAAGGATTTTTGGTTTGTTGACCACTTTGTCCACCTGTGTTCACCAGCATCTGATACGTATTGAGGTGACCGGTTCCTGGCTGTTTTTTTTTTTTTTTTTTTGAGACGGAGTCTAGCTCTGTCGCCCAGACTGGAGTGCAGTGATGCGATCTGGGCTCACTGCAACCTCCACCTCCTCAGTTCAAGCGATTCTCCTGCCTCAGCCTCCCTAGTAGCTAGGATTACAGGCGCCCGCCACCATGCCCTGCTAATTTTTGTATTTTTAGTAGAGATGGGGTTTCACCATGTTGGCCAGGCTGGTCTGAAACTCCTGACCGTGATCCGCCAGCCTCAGCCTCCCAAAGTGCTGGGATTACAGGCATAAGCCACCGTGCCCAGCCTCCTGATATTTTTTAAACCTGTGAATCTTCAAACCCATTCAGCAAGTGTCTTCTGAGCAACTATTAAGTGCTATGCTGAGGGATTCCAGGAAAATGAAAGCCTTCATTGAGTATTTTATATATATGTGTTTGTGTGTGTGTATATATGTTTTGTTTTTTTTTTTTTTGAGACAATTTTGCTCTTGTCGCCCAGGCTGGAGTGCAATGGCGCGATCTTGGCTCACTGCGACCTCCACCTCCTGGTTCAAGCGATTCTCCTGCCTCATCCTGCTGCATAGCTGGGATTACAGGCGCCCGCCACCACGCCTGGCTAATTTTTATATTTTTAGTAGAGACGGATTTTTGCCATGTTGGCCAGGCTAGCCTCGAACTCCTGACCTCTGGTGATCCGCCGGCCTCAGCCTCCCAAAGTGCTGGGATTACAGACATGAGCCACCACGCCCGGCCCGAATATATATATATATATATATATATATTTTTTTTTTTTTTTTTTTGAGACCGAATCTCGCTCTGTCGCCCAGGCTGGAGTGCAGTGGCTGGATCTCAGCTCCGCCTCCCGGGTTCAGGCCATTCTCCTGCCTCAGCCTCCCGAGTAGCTGGGACTACAGGCGCCCTCCACCACGCCCGGCTAGTTTTTTTTTTTTTTTTTTTTTTTTTTTTTTTTCTATTTGTAGTAGGATGATCCGCTCCCCGGGCGCTTCTCCCTCACCTCCGATGCTGGACTACGCCCGCCACCCCCGGCTATTTCTTATTTAGTAGAGACGGGTTCACCGTGTAGCCAGGATGGTCTCGATCCTCCTGATCCCCGTCCGCCCCCAGTGGGATTACGCTTGAGCCACCGCGCCCGCTCGTAGAGAGGGTCACCTGGAGCCGGTGGTCTGATCTCCTGGCCCCGTCTCGGCCTCCCAAAGTGCTGGGATTACAGGCGTGAGCCACTGCGCCCGGCCTGGCCCGAATATTATAGTGGGGTGTGGAGAGGGGCAGGAAATAAGCAAGGTCACACCTTGCTGACTTAGGTCACATTTAAGCTGAGACCAGAGCCCGCCATGCAGACAGGATCTACCTTTCCAGGGCGGCGAAGGAACTGCTCATGCCAAGACCCTGAAGCAGGGATATTTAGCTGTTGGAGCATTGGAAGGACAATTTTGGGGAGCAGAGGTGAGGTGGGGGTGTATGCAGGACTGTGCTAGGGAGTGTCTCCTAGGAGGTCAGCTCCGGGGCAGGGACCTTTACTATCAGCTTCACAGCTCTACCCTTAGCATCTAGAATATTCCTCTGCATACAATCGGTGCTCAGTAATTTTTTGTTGAATGAATAACTATGGGAGAGACAGCAATGAGTGACAAGCATGTAACATTGCAAGTCAGCGAGGTGAAACTTAACTCTTGTCACCACTAGAGGGCGCGCCCCCACCCAACTGTTGTGGGATGAAAACCTCTGCCCCCCAAAAGTCTCTGGTTCCCGCAGAGGCCTGTCTTGGCTTTTTAAAAGTAAAGATTGGGCCGGGCGCGGTGGCTCAAGCCTGTAATTCCAGCACTTTGGGAGGCCGAGACGGGCGGATCACAAGGTCAGGAGATCGAGACCATCTTGGCTAACACGGTGAAACCCCGTCTCTACTAAAAAATACAAAAAACTAGCCGGGCGAGGTGGCGGACACCTGTAGCCCCAGCTACTCAAGAGGCTGAGGCAGGAGAATGGTGTAAACCCGGGAGGCGGAGCTTGCAGTGAGCCGAGATCACACCACTGCACTCCAGCTTAGGGGACAGAGCGAGACTCCGTCTCTAAATAAATAAATAAATAAATAATAAATAAAGATGGGGGCCGGGCGTGGTGCTTCAGGCTTATAATACCAACACTTTGGGAGGCCGAGGCGGGCAGAGCACAAGGTCAGGAGTTCCAGACCAGCCTAGCCAACATGGTGAAACCTCGTCTCTACTAAAAAAAAAAAAAAAAAAAAATTAGCGTGCTGCCTGTAATGCCTGAGGGAGACGGGCGGAAGAAGAGGAGAAGAATGGGTACGGTGGCCTATATTGGGGTCGTGTGGTGGGCGGCATGGCCCCTTGGTAAATCCCAGCTACCGGGGGGGGAGGGCCTTGGAGGGCAGGGAGAATCGCTTGAACCCGGGAGGTGAAGATTGCAGTGGGCCAAGATCGCACCACTGCACTCCAGCCTGTAGACCCAGCGAGACTCCGTTTTAAATAAATAAATAAATAAATAAATGGCCGGGCGCGGTGCCTCACGCCTGTAATCCCAGCACTTTGGGAGACTGAGGCGGGTGGATCACAAGGTCAGGAGATCGAGACCATCCTGGCCAACATGCTGAAACCCCGTCTCTACTAAAAATACAAAAATTAGCTGGGCGTGGTGGTGTGTGCCTGTAATCCCAGCTACTCGGGAGGCTGAGCCAGGAGAATGGCTTGAACCCGGGAGGCAGAGGTTACAGTGAGCCAAGATCATGCCACTGCACTCCAGCCTGGTGACAGAGGAAGACTCTGTCTCAAATAAATAAATAAAATTTAAAAAATAAATACAAAAAATTAGCCGGGCTTGGTGGCAGGCACCAGTACTGTCAGCTACACCAGAGGCTGAGGCAGGAGAATGGTGTGAACCCGGGAGGCAGAGCTTGCAGTGAGCCGAGATCACGCCACTGCACTCCAGCCTGGGAAACAGCGAGGCTCCGTCTCAAAAAAAAAAAAAAATTGGGGAATTTGGAATTTGAAATCTCACACTACTGGCCTTGTTTCCCTGGTGGCCTTTGTACTTTTTTTTTTTTTTTTTTTTTTTTTTTGAGTCGGAGTCTTGCTCTGTCGCCCAGGCTGGAGTGCAGTGGCACGATCTCGGCTCACTGCAAGCTCCGCCTCCCGGGTTCACGCCATTCTCCTGCCTCAGCCTCCCGAGTAGCTGGGACTACAGGCGCCCACAACCGCGCCCGGCTAATTTTTTTGTATTTTTAGTAGAGACGGGGTTTCACCGTGGTCTCGATCTCCTGACCTTGTGATCCGCCCGCCTCGGCTCCCAAAGTGCTGGGATTACAGGCGTGAGCCACCGCGCCGCCTGGGACGGAGTCTCGCTCTGTACCAGGGGAGTGCAGTGGGCGATCTAGTCCTGCAACTCCTCAGGTCAAGTGATTCTCCTGCTTCAGTCTGCCGAGTGCTGGAACTACAGGCGGGTGCCACCACGCCCAGCTAATTTTTGTATTTTTAGTAGAGACGGTGTTTCACCATATGGACCAGATGGTCTCCATCTCTTGACCTCGTGATCTGCCCGCCTCAGCCTCCCAAAGTGCTGGAATTACAGGCGAGAGCCACCATCTCTACTAAAAATACAATAGCCAGGTGTGATGGGGCACACCTGTAATCCCAGCAACTGGGGAAGCTGAAGTAGGATAATCGCTTGAACCCAGGAGGTGGAGGTTGCATTGAGCTTAGATCATGCTGCTGCACTCCAGCCTGGGCGACAGAGGGAGACTCCGTCTCCAATAAAAAAAAAATAGTGACAGTATACAGCGAGCGTCTCCCCATGTTGTGCATGCTGATCTCAAACTCCTGGGCTCAAGGGATCCTCCTATATGGGCCTCCCAAAGTTCTGGAATTACAGTCATGAGCCACTGTGCCCAGCCTATGTAAACATTTTATTTTATTTTATTTTTATTTTAAGACGGAGTCTCTCTCTGTCCCCCAGGCTGGGTGCAGTGGCTTGATCTCGGCTCACTGCAACCTCCACCTCCTGGGTTCAACCGATTCTCCTGGTTCAGTCTCCTAAATAACTGGGATTACAGGTGCCCACCACCACACCCAGCTATTTTTTTGTTTTTTTTGTTTTTTTTTTTTTGTTTTTTTTGTTTTTTTTTTGAGACGGAGTCTCGCTCTGTCGCCCAGCCCAGGCTGGAGTGCAGTGGCGCAATCTCGGCTCACTGCAAGCTCCGCCTCCCGGGTTCACGCCATTCTCCTGCCTCA